AAAAATAATAATACAACAATAAAAGTAAAGTTAAGAAGTAATTAATTAATTAAAATAATTTCACCATACTTATATTGACATAATATTCATGCTTACTACCTTTTTATTGTCATAATCCATGTTATTTCTAACTGCAAATAACTAAAAAACTAACGAATAAAACATTTATTATTGACATATATAGGAAAAATAAGTAATTTTAATTGGTTATAAACTTACAATTACAATAATTATTCACAATAACACTTAAATTACATTTTACAAAATTATTACTTACCTTAAGAAATGAAAAACTGCTTTCATTAATTTTGTTGTCACTTTTAAGGTGATCAATTAATTGACCTAAGTTTAAAATCTTTTTTTTCAGGTTAAGGTTTTGCATTCGAAGTTTTCTTATGGTTGATTGGTATTTTTTATGGGAAGTTTGTGCTGCATGGAATAATTTCCGTCGACTATTTGGGCTTTCTAGATCATTTTCGCTTTTAAAATCACCAATATAAAATTTACGTTTGTTTACCTTTCGTGCACTATCTGTAACAGATGGCCCAGGTAAATTTTCCTCAAATGCTAAAAACATAATACATGGATTAAATTCCTAAAACACAAAATACACAACAATAAGGCATTGAAACACACGTGGTACATCATCGATATCCTTATTTTCTTGAACTTCAATTTCATCGACTTTATTGTCTTGAACTTCAATTTCATTGACTTTATTTTCTTCAACTTCAATTTCATCGACTTTATTTTCTTCAACTTCAATTTCGTCAACTTCAATTTCTTCAATCATAGATGCGACTTGAAAATAATAAAATAAGTAATAATATTATAATATCATATTTAAATTATGAATTATATTCAAAAAAATCTTATTTTTCACCATTTCAATACACAGAGTTGATCAATAATAATTGTTGGTCATTTTTTTGAATTGTTAAATATAAAACGAATTGTTAATTTATTATTAATTATATAAAACTGTTTAGCAAAAAATAATGTAAATTATTTACTCAGGTAAAACCCTAACCGAACTAAAATCCTGCATACGATACTGATTATAGTAGGTTTGTTCCAGCACAGTGTTGTAAGTATATTGTTCAGTATATGTTTCTAACAATTATAACTCGTTTACAACGCTGTGCTGGAACAAACCTATAATGTGTTAGATAATTATAAATACAATTATTATTAAATTGTATTAAAATACTTTACATTTTGTAAAAACACTGGGAATTGCAGATTTTTTCAAAACTTTTTGATTGTTCACTACACTTAAATTATAGTCATCTTCTAAAAAATGTAAACTACATATTTTAGTGTGAGTAGTGGTTTGAAAGTCAGGTTGAAATGAACGTATAGTTTTCAACCACTTATTCATCATGTCAATTGATCGAGGTATACTGTTGAGACAAATAAAATATTTATTTAATTATGTTAATAAAGTTAATGAATAATGACAATAAAAATATTTACCCATGCATCTTTATTTTCCCTGAAGACTTTTCTTTGCAGGTTTTAATTGCACACTGAAGAACCATTGTTAAAAATTAAAATATTAAAAATGTTTAATATACCTACTTAATATATTTAAAAAAATTAAAATGACAAATACTCAAAATTTAAATTTATTGTAATTTTCAATTTTTGTTATCTACCTAAATGATTAAAAATTGTTTATAATGTTTTTTACTCCATGATATGTAATTTGTTCTTTTATGACCGTCTTAAGTTGTATGCTATTTCTTTCTAACAATGTTGGTATACGAACCTCTCTTTCTACGATCAGTCCATTTATTAATATGTCTATGCTCTATACGCAGTCCATTATATTATGTCTATGATTACTTCCATAGCCAGTGACTAGCGAGTGAGACCGAATTATATAACTATGCTCAAAAGTTTATTGCATTCACCACTAGAGCGTGATATTTTTCATTCGATATTCGATTTCTCTGTAATTATATATAGTGGCTAGATTTATTTGTTATATGACTCAATAACTATGGTAACACTATTAAAATTATTTCCTTTAGTAATTATTATTGGTTAGTTTTGTGTATTAAAAAAATGTATTAAAAAGGAGTTATATAAAAGGAATATAAATTAAATCAAATATTAAAATATGGATGAAATGGATGATTCTAGAAAAAGACTTTTGTTACTTACAACCAAAATTCCATCGGACGTATCATTTGCCGTAAGTTGATTGTTCTTTATACATATTATTCTTTGCAGTATACTGCCTATGTTATTAATACATAATATATATCATATAAATTGGACTTAATTCGCATGATTATTTGTCAGGTTAACTTCAGTTAAGTTTTTGCGGTTTAATATCCATTGTTCACAAAACACAAACCGATATACATTAAACATAATATTATCTGGATATCTTTAATGCTAATTAATTTAAATTCATTGAGTAATATTGTTTCAATATTTTGTAAATTCTATTTGGAATAGGGAAATTTTCTAAAATATCTGATCCACTAGAAACAAAATTGAACATGAAGTTAATTTAATTAAATTATTTTTAGTATTATTATTATTATTGGTAGTCTTAAAATGTCTTGAAAATTTAGTTTTACAGTTTTTATTGTGTAGTTACTTTATTTTCAGCTGATTGATATTTTAAATATTATTTTGTATCTAAGCGGATTCATGAAATTCATTAGGAGTAGAATCTTATATTATGTCTGCATCAGTTAAATGTAATATATTAAATTCCCAAACAAAGTTTACTATGTTTCAAAAGAGAACAATCACTTTTTAGTTTCTGCGCATCGTGAATGCTTCTGTTGGCGTCTTAAGAACTACGTGATCACGCTAACCACGTGTAGTTGGTGGGAAATGCGATGCGGTATGTCCATCGACTGATTATTCTCTTTCGAGGCAGAGTATGTATATGTATAAGATCCAAAAAAAATGTGTCTTTTGTCTCTTTCGTCATTATTTCCAGATGTCAACCAAGCTCATATTGGTTTATATCATAAAACCAAGAGACATACCTAGTCTGAGTTAGGAATATTACTCAACAGAACCTAATGTAACATTATTATATATCAAATTGATAATTGTATTATAAGTATTTAACTGACAGGTACTCAATACTTGAGCATCTTTCAATATTTTCATTGCTGTACATAATATTTTCAATAATAAAAGAAGACTGATAACTTATTACAAGATGAATATAATGTTATGTGATGTAGCTTGATCTGATCATTATAATGGCATTCTTTTCTGTGATCATACACATTTCAGTATAATCTTTTAAAAAAAATTGTACATACAATTTTCTATTTTATTATACTATGATGAAAATACAAATAAAAATTTCACTAAACATTAAAAAAGTTAAATAATTGTAGCTAGTTGTGGATTTGTCTTCAACGTATATAATCAAAATAGTAATATCAACTTCTGACGAGAAGTCTGTTCAATGTGTTAACAAATGTTGATATGCTTCAAAATGTTGCAAAAACACATTATGTACTGAAAGGCTGTTTTTATATAAATTGTTTTAATAAAAATAATCCATGTATTTTAATTTTGAAAGCAAATAAAATTAATCACATTTCGTTCATTAAAAACCGATGTCTAACTCGATATTCAAATTTTTGGTATTCCACGTTTTGAATTTCCACCAATTAATTCTGATTTCATAATTGACGTCCATTCTTGTGGGTTTTCATCGTTTTTATTTGAGACCTATAAATATAGATTGTCATCCATAGATTATTCATCTGTAGCTATATCTCCTTCAATTAGTTTTTTTCTTTTTTTGTCTTTCATATGTGTACATTTTGTTTTTCTTTCCCCAAAATTGACTTTTATTTACTTTATGAACTTAATCTAGTATCTAAATTGTTTTTTGTTATGCATTTTAATTCTTGAAATCGATCTAATTCAATCCATTGTTCTTTTTTCTCGTTTTATTGAATTTCTTATATTTCTATAGTTCCATGCTGTCTTCTACTATCTGGTTCATTTTTTATTTTTGAAAAATATTTTTGTCTGCTATTAAATATTAATTATTATCGTATAAATTATGTATAATTGTGTGTATAACCCCGAAATTTTGTTTTTCAATTTCTATTCCTGGCAATACAGCAAACATTTTATTCCAGCTAACAGTATTAAGCCCCTTTTCTAGGTGTATAAAACCTAAGTTTGTGACTATTAATTTCAACTTGTTGACCACCAATGAGCACACAAAATTCAAAAATTGCTTCTCGCTCAATTCTTTGCTTTTTTATGAGACCATATTGGTCGTTCATCAGATAGTTTTCTACTTTCCTTTTCATAATTATGTAAGTATGTTCAGCGTTAGTAATTATTATTCGCACCAAAGAAATTTCCTTTTTTTGGTATAGTTACAATATTATGCCATTAGTCATCCAATAGTTCATCCTTCTCATATATACTTCGATTGAGACTGTAGCATATTTTATTGTCATATAGCTATTATGTAGCAGTTCTCCTGTAAAGTTGATTAGTCCCTGTTGTTTTGATGGTTTGGGCTCACTCGATGCTATATTAAATTTTGATCTTATCATTTATGGTACTTGGCTTATTTTTTATTTTCTTGAATTTCAGATCAATTTTAGATTGAGTAACCTGCCAATGTCTGCACCAGGGTATTACTATTTACTTAAATGATTTTACTCGATTTGTATCTATTTCTTTCCATAATGAATGAAATCTATGTATTTTTGAATATGCCCAGGAATCTCCCAGAAATATCTACTTCTTTTATGATTGTTGAATAGTGTTTGAGACAATTCATTCCTGTATAATATATAAAAGGATATTATGACTGACCGATCTATCAACTCACAGCCTAAACCATTTAACGGATTTGGCTGAACGTTGGCATTCACATAGCTATTATAACGTAGGCCTACGCTAAGAAAAGATTTTTTGAAATTCAATTCCTAAAAGGGAATATAAAAGGTGTTTAGAATACAATAGTGGTGCCATCCGTCCAGAAGAATCAAATTTAATGATACAATTGTGGCTTACTCTGTTCACTAAAATAATATACAATTCCACAGTATTAACTTATTCGCTTAAATTTTTTTTAAATTAAAACGTATGAACCTGAAATTTGGAATTGTGGTTCCGCTTATGCTCTAAATGTGTTATAAAATTAGTCAGTTCATTCCGTGACACTTGCTCTATTGGAAAAATATTGAAAACCGAAGTATTCGAATAAGAGTATTTCTTTTTTTAAATAGGTTGCACTTACGGTAGCTTATCGTCGTGTCCGCAATTCAACACTGGTCGGTTGCCTATCTGATATATTGCATGCATAAATTGAAAGTATATCGATTTTAATTTGAAATGACTAGCTGTCTTGCTAGACTCTTAAATCCTGTTTTTGATTTTAAACTTTATACTTATAAAAAAGTACCCAATGCAAAAAGTATTCAATCCACCATATGAGTATTGCAAATACATTTAAAAAAAAAAACAAATCTTTGTCGGACACTAGTTAACCAAACCTAGTGTATATATATGCGTGTATCATTATGATATTGTGGTTATCAAATACATGACGAAAATATCTACATAATATCGGTACGAAGTAACAAGTTATGGACTACGAGATGTTGTATGGATATTTTAGTCATCCAGTAACTATCTACTAGACATAATGTGCTCTGTTTGTGCTGACATTTTTAATTCTGCAATAAGTAAATTATAGGTATGTAATAATAATAACTTAAATATTTATGTATTTAAGATTTAATGTAAAACCTCTATTATTGTCAATATTATGTATAATAATGCACTCTATATTTTCCATGCAGCTATCTCTGCCAGTATTCTTTACCCTTCACCATCAGCATGATACAGGTAATACTTTACTAAAAATGTCAGCTAAACTGAAACAGCAAGGTGAAGATATAACTTATGTTGAGTTTTGCAAGCTGTTCATGGACATTTATCAAGACAAAAGTGTATTAAATACTTGCCAAGAAAATTATTCGTCCCAGGTAAAATATCTAACAATATGAACTTAGGAACTACTTATCATATTTTCTAGATTTTTTTTTTAACGAAAGAGTATATCACAGTGAATCAATATATAATATCACTATTATTACAACTACTTACTATTGTTTTCACATTATTCATTTCGAGTTTTCGCGTTATTAAAATGCCCAGAAGAAAACCCGTTATCGGTCGCTTTACTTGAGGATCAAAGATTAAATCTGTCAGATTGAATTATGCAAATACCATTTGGGAAACCAATAATTACCACAATCTTCTAGGTGGTGTAAATAAATGTCCGAATTTAGGAAAGACTCTGCAATCAAATATGTAGATGATTTCCATGTTTCTATTGGCAATATAATTACGATTTGTGAGTTTTGCCAGGTAATGAAATGGTCTCTTGATGCACTCGGTCTTTACTGTGCTAAGGGAAAAGTTCTTTCGAAATCGCTGATCCACCGGAACCATTAAATAGTCTGATTAATAATACACATAATCACTTTTAAGTTTTTTTTGACCACATACGAAAGTATAATTCTGTCTTTCAAATGATGTCTTTTGGTTCTACTTAAATAAGACATGGATATTTCGTGCGTACATTTAAAATTCAAGGCAAGGTATATCATGCAGTTGGTTCACTTTTACCAAACACGTATGAAGAACCAACATTTTTACAAATTTATTTCATGAGAAATGGAGAATTATGATTACTTATATGTCTTCACGCCAATGGGGAAGTTTTATATGATTTACAAGAACTTTTGCACAGCGTCAATCCATATGTACAAAGTTTCAAATATGTTATTGAAACATTACCACTGAACGCTTCTGACTTCAAAGTGATCATTCGAGCTGATCAAAAACCATCAAACGAGCACAGAGGCCGTTTCATAATCGGATGGAGTGGCAATACTAATTGTTTGCCAAGAATTTACTAAAAGAGACATTTTACTTCAAGTAAAAGACGATATCCTCCAGCGTGACAATGAAACACATGAGGCATATGATTCTCTCCAATACCCATCGATGTCTTGTAGAGAAGATTGATATTGTATCAACGTTCCACAAGTCAATCCAACTACACGGGAGATTTTCCAGGTAAAAACTGTTTCTGCAGTGAATTGTTACGCATACAGACTAATGAGTAGAAGTAATTCTAGTTAGATAAAATATTGTTCTCAACTTAATCAATACTGAGTAAACATGTATACAAACATTGAAACTGAGCGGCTTAACTTTATCAGAGCAAGTCAAAGTAAATTGAGGGCTGACAACTACTTTGATTTTCATGATGCTATTCAGTCAGATAGAGATCCAACGGATATTTGTCAAAAAGAGATTTTGCCATCCTCCTTCACCGGTGGTCCTCGGTATAAGCAACAACGCAAGCAAGATGATAGATGGTAGAGCAGATCTATTTATTACAATGACCTGCAATCAAGTGTTACAAGGAATATGCTTCATGGGCCACGTGGACAGCTTAACATACGTTTGCCATGCATGAAGGATGGAAAGTGTACAAAACAATTTCCTAAATCATTCATCGATGAAACAGGAGATGATGGCTAACCCAAATTTTGCCGTTGATCTCCTGAAAGTGGTTTTGAGACTTTTTAGCGCTAAGTTTCCAAAGACATTCCATCACTCCATAATCAATGGGTTGTCCTATACAGCCGTTTATTGTGGCGTGCCTTTGGTTGCCATATCAATGTGGAAATCTTCAATTCGATGAAATCTATCTACTATGTTTATTACTAAATTAACAAAGGCTCCGAACAAGTTTTATCTTCTATTGATTCACGAGATGAAATCACAACTTATTAAAGTGGCAGATATATTATTTCATCTGAAGATGCATGGAGAATTTTTGGGTCTCCTATAGATGAACGCTCTCTAACAATAGTTCAATTAGTTGTTCACTTAAAAAATGGTCCACGTATTTATGTAAATAAACCGGAAAATATCCCTGAAAAATCAAAAATATAAAAAATGTAATTTTCGAACTATCTGGACTGTCTGGACAACATTTCTTTCTTGGTGCAATTGTTGTAAAGGGCAAGACGATTGTAATTAACTTTTGCTTTCAAAATTAAGAATGTAATGGAACATAGCCTTGCAGTACCATCGTATTTCAGAATTTGCCTATCGACATTTATATTTCCGCTGGACCTTCAATCAAGAGAAAGTCCGTTATGTAATATAAAAAAGCAGAGTTCATTGGCAAAAGTCCTGAAAGAAGCCATGTCTTATAATATGGTATGAAGTAACTATGGCAAATAAAGCTGGAAGGAAGGTCTTGATCGCACGTTCATAGATCTCAGAGACGACCAATGTCCAATGGGCGATATCATAGTATCGACTTCAGGAAAATATTATCTGTAGTACCAAGGATACGAAAAGCGATGAAGTTAATTCTTGCCTTATCATATTTTAACAGAGGAGGGGATTGTTGAAAGTGTGACCGCTGCAGAAAGCTCTGAAACGGATGAATATGATCAGGATGAAGCAGACGATAATGTATACCCTAAGCCAAAACTTGGCGAAATTAAAGATCATCTAAACATTGTCATTAAATACGTAGAAGATAAATACAATGAAAACGTATCTGCGCATTATGAAAATTTAAGGCATCTTCGTGAGGTTAAAGAAATCAATGTGAAAGAAAGACAACCAAAGATTAGCAGGTTTGTTAAACCAGTAAGCGTGACAAGTGTCAATAATGAATGTGAGCCTTAATATGTACTATATTAAGTGTGTAATGATTATAATACAATTATGTTTCATGTATTTTTAGGTTTAATATTGTTAGACATACATATGTATTTATATTTAGTTTGAAACTTGCATAATAAATTAATATCCAATACATTTTTTTTAAATTTATAATTTATGATTTTTGATTACTTTGTTTAATCCGGACTTTCAATAATTCAGACAACCTAGAGCCAGTGTCGGCCTGGGCTATGAAAGGCCTATGAAGGCAGGGTTTTTTTTAGGGCCTCAATTTTTTTATCAAAATTTATCTAAGATTGGGTTGAAATTGTGAAAGTCGTGTTTTGTGATATCTTACATACATATAAAATATATACATTATACATGAATATTTTTGTAGCATATTAATTAATGTATTATTGTTAAATGCAAACTATAATTTGACTTCATATGTACACAACATATTATAGAAAATATATATTTAAAATTAAACTATTATTTTATTATTATAACAAATGTGTGCATAATATTTCTTTTAACTAAAAAATAAATGAATTTTATACAAGTTTGAATTACATACTCTTTATTAGGTATTAAAATTTACTTATTCTTTTTTAATAAAATTACCTTAAATTCACTGATACACTATTTAAATAATTATATTCTACTAATTAACAGACTTGGTTAATTTTAAAACAACAACAAATAAATGATTTAACACATTATATTATTATTCTAATAGTATTAATTTTTTTTATTCATAACGTAAGTAATCTTTTTAATGCATTAGATGAACCAGCAATGCAATTAATAAAATGTTCTTTATCAATCTCTATATCTTTCTCGACATTCATTAGCATTAATGGAGTTAGATGTTCTTGACTTATAGTAGATCTTAATTTTGATTTAACTAACTTAAGTTTAGAAAAAACTCTTTCACACGTTACCTGAGTTGATGGAAGAAGTAGTACATATTTATACAAAATAAATAAATTATTAAAAGTATTGGAATTAAATGCAAGTTCTCTAATTGTAATATAAGCACATGCAATGCATCTATTACATTTGTTACAGTCAATTGGTAAAACATTTTCTTCATCAACATCATTATATATATATTTATATGTATCTATACATCGTATTATCGTTATATTGTATGAGCGTTAACATATTATGAGAAACATGTAGACATGTAGTATCCAAAAATAGAACAAAAATAATTTACGAAAAATAATAAATACTCGTATTTTTTAAACCATTATGATGCGATAAGAGAATTTAATGTAAATGACAACAAAACACCTAGAGAATACTTGTATTTTTAAAACAAAATTATTCCAATAAACCGAAAGTATTCAAATATTCAATGTTAATAAGTTTTTATCCTTTAAACTCTTTTTGCTTATCAATTGTATATATTTGTTCTAAACTCAATTACCCTAAATTTAATCGCACATGTCTGTAATGACCTAAAGAGCCCTCAATAATACTTAGCACCCTGGGCTATTAAGTCCCCGTCCATCATTATTTGAGGTGCCCAATGCCCATGCTAGAATAAAAAAAAAAAAAGGCTGCCTCGCTGCCCTGGCCAGGCCGATACTGCCTAGAGCCCCCATATAGTCCGGATTAATGAGGTTCTACTGTACTAACAAAGACATGTTTCGAATTAGATATCAAAAGGTGGCAGTGATTTGATTTATGAGATAGATACATTTTTTCGACTCGTCGGTGACAAGATATACCAGATATACTGGAACTGTGATGAAGATGAGATGCGCGTGGGCCGTATGAAACTAATGTCTGAAGAAAATGAATCGTGTTTAGCAGAAATTAAGTCATTAAATGGAGAAATAGAAAATATGGTGATCGATCATAAAGATAAAGTTCAAGAATATGAAATTCAAAAAATTAAATTTGACGAACGAGTATTAAAATTATATCGTGAAGCCCAATTAAATAAAGTTAGGATTGAGTAAGATTTACAATTGTAAATAACTAACTGTATTACAGATTTCCACTTGCTCACTCCACTAAAAACTTATTTCTGTTCCTTAGTCCTTTTCATTTTTTAACCATACCCTGGGACCCGTCTATCACTTCTGCATGTAGCATGATTGAAAGTTTTCAAAGAAAATTAAACCGTCACGCAGCTTATAAGTTAAACTCAATTTATTTTATGACAAAACAAGAAAGTATTAGTTGTTTTCTATTATTCTTCCGGTGAAACTCACTAGTTCAAGTTTTTCGCGCCAGTGATTTTGTTTGAATTTCAAAATGAACCAAGGCTTTTAAGTTAAAAAAGTGGCTTCAAGTCGGGTGCACCACTGAAAAATCCTTATTTTGGATAACCTTAAACTTAAAAACCCTACAGTGATCACTGATCTCATAATATATCACATATTATGTCCAGAAGTGGCTCGAGTATGAATTTTATCCGGTTCCTGCTATAAACAACTACTAGGCTAATAGAAAAGAAATAAAACCGTTTATCCGGACAATTTCTCATACGACATTGTTTGGTTGGTTCATATTATCGTAGTTTCGGGAATTCGTATTTTTTCACGATTACACAATAACTTATTACTCACTTTAATGTTAATTTACTTCTCACACATCAACAAATCAATAGTGTGCATTTTACATGAAATCCCTATACACTTTCTTAAAACATGCTATGCTCTGGCTTCCTTAGATTTTCTAGTTTTTACGTTTAAAAAAAAAATTGAAAATTTGTTACAAACTTCAAATGCAAATAAAATTGCTTGAAAAATATATTTCAAAAATCTGTTGTAAGATTTTGTAGTAGAACTTATCTAGTTGATTTTTATACCAAAACCATGTGCCTACGACTAATGAGGTTTTTGAAAAATTAAAAGTATGCTTTTACGGACCATTTTTTTCGAATGTGGCGGCCTTTTAAATCTTGCATAAATACGAGAGGACAATGAACATCCCCACATAATTCTTAAATTATTTTACTATACTCCAGCCATCGTGAGAGTGTTTCTGGGCGGCGACCAAAACTAGTCTGTTGTCGCGCATTTACGACGGTGACTAGGTTGTAGAGTGAGAGAAATTTGGATATGAAACCGTAAAGCTCGGTGATTTGGATGCTCGAAGGAAAAGCTTTCTCTCAGTGGCTGTAGTATATAATTAAATGCTTATAAAATTATAATTTAATAATTTTTAATAATATTCTTCTTTAGGATATAAAATTAAAAACATAAGTTGTGGTTAAAAAAAATGTATAAATATAATTGGATAAGAAGTATGTGTGGTGTGAAAATTGTATTTAAATTATAAACACAAATCTTAAAAGATAGACTGAAAAACAAAAAAATAAATATTAAGCTTATAAAATATTAGATTTGATGCAGATTATATTTTGTTGTATATGATAAAATTATGAGTTGTCAGCCTATTGCGATTTTCATTAAATTATATTCATACACAGGAGAAAAAATAGAAATGAAATGTTAATAAACTTGATGGAACGTGAGAAGGAATTGGATGATCTTGAAAAAATAAATAAAGAAAACAAAAGGAAGTTCATCGCTTCAAAAGAAATTAATATCGTAGAAACAGAGCAGATGAAAAAAGAATTGTAAGATAATACGATTAGAGGTACAACTATTAGACTTGAAAACACAATAAACTTACAGATTTTTATTATTTAATATCTAATTTTAGTATGACATAATAGTCTTAACACTTTTCAATAGAGAATATACCGATCGGCGACCGGTTTACATCGACGGCGCGCATCCCCTATCAAGTACCAACAGTCACGAGTCACAACAATTGTCATCTCACAGTGACTGTTCGTTGTGAATCTGTATACTCCGGGTATTAATTATTCATACGATTGATATTAACAAATATTATTAAATACAATATTGTAAAACCAATTGATGTTCCAAAAAAGTATTAAGATCAATTTAAATGAATAAGTTATGTGCTGATTATTTAGAAGTCGTCCTGGTATACTAGTCAGATTGCTTCGGATGGCACCTATCGTACAAAGTCGAATCAAAATATCGATAGACATTAATAGGTAGGTATGTCAGAACATTTTTGATATGCATTGTGTTCATAGACCTCTCCTCTTGTGAGCTTGTTTGCCTCTTCCCATTGGTGAAGATATCTGAAATGCATTTCTATATTTAATACTCCCACCTACTGACCGGTTTTAGAGTGATCACGTGGTTCAAAAAGTGATTGTTCTCTTTTGAGACAGAGTATAATCGTTTCATAGTTCGCATTAAATAATCAGATGACTTTTTCAATTGAACGGTTGAGTAGAAAAAGGATAACATTCCTTAACACAACATTTTCGGAAAATTTAAAAAACTTTATTTCGTTCATTTTTATTTGAATGTTAATTGTATGTATACAGCAAATACTTGTTTTTATCTAACCCTGAAACTCCTAAAATATGAGATCGTAATATTTTTTTTTTATATATCTAAAACTTATAAAGTGCTGGAATATTATTCGTTTTCCTCTTTGTATTAATAAGATTTTAAAATAACTTTAAAACTTCATTTTATTCTTAAAAAAAGGCTTTATTCAGTACAAAAGTTTTTTTAAGTATCATCTTATTTTAGTTTAAACTTATTATACATTTTAAAAATAATTTAAGTTACCATATTAAAATAATTAATAGGTTTCTAAAATCTTAATGTTCATCATCATCACTAGTTGCTCCATTTAAATTGGGCCGGTCCAAAATTGCATCATAGAATCCTTGATATTCTTGCGGAATGTATTATCTGCCTAATTTTACTTTCATACAACCGATCTTTTCAACTTATAAATGTTGGTTTGTACGTTTATCAGCCAATTTAAAATATTCGCCAGAGTTCAAATTTAACAACTCTTCAACAACACTTTTTCTGATATATTTTCTATTGGAAACTACAAAACCTCTAAAATAATTATTTACTTGATATTTAATAGATAATACTTGAGAAATTAATTTTATATTATCAACTAAATGAGTTCTTGCTGGTCTTAAAATATGTGATTAACATAAATGTTTACGTTTGTCATCTTATACTCAATGGAAGTATGATCTTTGTATGTGATTTAAGTTTTCCATCATCCATTGTTTGTCAAACCCATATCACCAACCATTGCGATTCCATTATCCAACATTATACTCTCAATAATTTGACATTACAAATCTTGGTTTCATTGGAGTATAAACTGTAGTGATCCGACGACTACAGGTGTCGTTGAGAGGAACGGGATGAGGTGTATTTTAATTGAATTCGTAAAAATGATGTCTTGTAATATAACTTATTAATATTCAATAAAACATTTGTAATTTAAACTATTATTTGGTATTTTGCAATAGAATATTTGTTTCAGAAAATTATTCTAAGTGTTCAGAAAATATCGGTTTGACTAGAATATTATGTAAGTCCAGGTTAGAATTAACTGATCGAAATTATTTTAAGTCCAAAATAATAAAACAAAAGACTGACTATCTTGAAGGCGCTCTGGCTCATCTGGTCAAATCACATCTGAATATGGGCTGTTCGGAGCTCTCCTATATAGGCCTACCCTCTACTTCTCCTAGCCCTCTCGATACGTGTATCGTGTATGTATCGTGATGCGTGGATGGTGTGTCCTCCGGCTATCGTTCCGGAAAATACTTACTGCCCACGGTCTGATACGATTTTCATGAGTGCACATCCAGGATGTGGTGATATTTCTGAATATCTACTACGCAGTCAATATTATAAGTGTATTAATGCGCATATTAATTTATTATTTTTGTATTATTATTCTAATATTAATCATTCGTAGAGTGTATGCCCATTATTTGTACTTTAATAGGATTCCACGAAATGATTAGATCGATTCTTTATACTCTTTGTTTTCCCGGTAATATTTACGTACCACGACCGTCACGATACTTTGCTCTTCAACACGCCACCTTCCTTAAACATGTTTATTATCTGTACTTTAGCTAATAGCCTTCCGGTATGGGGATGACATGTTAATGATACTGTAACAAGGCCTAACGCGGGACGCCAGTCGATAGCAAAACATACATAATTGGCTGTTTTCTATTGCTTACTAACCCTGTATATTAATTAACTAACATCAATACATATCTAGTCATAATAATTTTGATATTTATTATTTGTATGTACATCGAGTTATAACTGTCTGAACACATTTATGGGGTTCTATAACTCAATAATTTTTTTGTCGTCAAAACAGTTTTCATTAAAAATACATAATATCCATACTAACCTAACCTAACCTAACCTAACGGTGTTTCAAAAGTCTTCATCCGATTATGAACTGATATATTTCGGCAACGGTTAATCGCAGGTTAATGACCAATGTATTAATGGAAAGATTAGATAACTAAGTTTATTTTAAGTTATCTAGTTGATAAATTTGGCACCGTAATGGTTAGGAATCGTTAGTTAGTTTCGTTATGGCGACTCCGCAACAGAAAGCAATTCATCCCTTGCCACCACTTTCCCCTGACCTCACAGTGTGTGATTTTTTTATGGGGCTACATAAAAGATAAAGTGTATGTACCACCATTACCTACAAAACCTAACCTGGAAGAGCTTAAAATCAGTACCAAAGATGCTGTTAATGCCATGACACCAGATATGATTAGCAACGTTTGGGAAGAATTTGATTACAGTGTAGATGTGTGTCGAGCGGCCGATGGGGGTCATATTGAACATTTGTAACCAAAGTAAATAAAACTTGACTATTTTAAGAATATATTTTACTTTATTTCACCCTTATATCTTCATTTTTAATCCAAATATGAATTTTTGAAATCAGATGAAGACTTTTGGAACACCGTGTATTCATACTATATTTATACTGTCCTGTTGAGTAATTTTCAAATTAATTGTAATTGTTTTTATTACTATATCTTAATTTATAATAAAATATATTGTCATATTGATATTAATGAATAAAATACAATATAATGACGTCAGACGTAACAAAAAAATGTTATTTGCCATAGTAAAAAGCTCATATTATTATGACAAATTGTATTTTTGACTGTTACTTTAACGGCCAATGAAATGATGCGAAGAACGACTATTACTTGGAACGGTGGGATACGCTAAGTACACCAAAACTCGTGTCGTTGCTGACCTATCTATTTTGTTATGCATCCGTCGTTATGCGCGAAAGTAGTATGTTCTCTTTTGAAATAATATAGATTATCTCATATACGTCAAGCAATAAATAAACCCAACACATTGAAACTCTTAATATTTAATTATTCTGTGTTTATGTCCATGGATTTTATATTTTGTAAGAACATTTTGGGAAATTGTATGAAAAAACACTATTTTTATAATTGACATTTAATAGGTACCACCTAACTAAATAATGATGTTTGATTGGCATTTATTTTTGTTAAATTGTATCGACTGTTTGATTATGATGATTGTTAATACTAAAATCGTAAACTTAAAATATTGAAACAATTTATGAATGTTGTTTTAAATATTCATCCTAACTTCATATTACTAATATGGGCCGATGTGTTATGGCTAATTGTATTTTTTAGATTTAGAAAAGAAGAATTTTTGAAGATGTTTTGTAACCGTTTCAGTAAAGATATGTTGATGCGGTACAAGAAGAAAAAAGGCCTAGAACTCTCGATTAAAGAAAAAAAGACCATGGTCGAAACGTTAAAAGTAAATTTTAAGTTTAAATTCATCTATTGTACCAGATTCCCTTTTTTGAATTTTTTTTTTTTGTTTCAACGTATGTAGTTAAGCATACTAAAAACGATCGTTAAGTCAAAATTTGGAGCTCTGATTTTCGACAAATCTTTCTTTCCTCATGTCACAGCACGTCTTTGTATATTTAGTAAATTATCATTACTGTGTGAAAACGGGCACTGATTACTCATATCATGCATATTAAGCACCAGCATACACCTTTAATTTAGTCAATAAATCAAAATACTCAAAATCAATTTATAGACGTGGAATAGCTATACGAATGACAACAGAATATGTACTTCTAGAGGTCCTATTTAAGAAAGAAAAAAAGATGTTTGAATTTCATGAACAAGATTGATTTGCTTCAGCAAAGCCCCTTTTCCATTTTTTATATTACAAAAAATATGCTCCAACCGATTCAAAGTAAACTCTTTTATCAAATCAAAAATCTCAACATTTTTTAAATCAATCCACTTGTAGTCTCTTTATTTTTGTCAGTCACTAAGGTGAATAGAATGTCACTTGATAAAAAATTGCTAGTGTTTGCATGGGCCTCAATAAGTGTAAACGGAGTTAGCTCTTTGGATACAAGTATATTATAATCTTATGTAATAAAACAGTGCACCTCTTTTGCTTTAGACAAATTGAACGCAATTAATTCTGTAGTTTTTAAAATCTTCATTTTTTCTTAATCTTAAGCAATTAATAAGTTGTGTTAATCATTAACACCACATGCTGTTATTACTGGATAATTAGTTTTTTCGACTTTATTATCAAGCACCATAGTGCTTTGTCCTAGTTGTCGTACACTATAAGCTTCTGAACTAAGTCTTGTTTTTACATGCACCTCTATTGTGTAAGTTTACCTTTTTATTAGTATTATTTGTAAGTCATTTTGATGTAATTTGCACTATTTTCAGAGTTTAGCTATGACATGATCGTCTTATTATATGCACGTTTCATTTAGTAAGAATCAGAATAAGAAGTTTTTATTGGTACATTTCTTAGGATTTTAATTTTTTAAGTAATTTTTTAGAGCACTTGGATTTTTGGGCTTTTTGAAAGTTTTTAATCCAAAATTTTGAATTGAATATTTTTACATGATTTTTATATATATTTAAGAAACTAATTTTATGATGTTAACATTTAAAAAAAAAATGAATTTATGGAAATAATTTTTTTTTTCAGATCAAAGAATCTAAAACGATTAGCTTTATTTTTAAAACTTTATTAAATCCTTTAAAATGTATGTTATTAACCTTATTCATATTAAAATCTGTAATTTTATTTACAATTAGGACGAGAGGAAATTAGTTTGCACTGGTTGAAACATTAGACTATAAATATCTAATAATAATAAAAATAATTGTTTGTGGTTTCAGGAGAATGTTACGTTAATGGCAACGCACCTTGCGGACCTCCAAGAATCTGAACGGGTTTATCTAAAACGTGAGGTGTACGACAAACTGGACGCGATACGTGAAAGAATAGCATTGCGAACAATTACTGCATTTATTATGCCTTATGTGAACCTCAAGTTTAAATCTAGAAAGAAGAAAATTAAAAGCAAAAAAACCAAAGGGTTGAATAAGAAGCCTATAAAATAATATCATAATATTTATTAATTATAGATATAGATCAATATATCTGATGTTGTCTTGACTTAATTAAATGTAATGGTAGAGAATGATTACTAGAGAAAATGTATAGTACTAATTTTTTGGTCATTGAGCTGAAGTAATTTATTTTCATGACCAGGTCTTTGTATTAATAGTGTTTCCCAACCGATGTTCCGTGGACCAGTAATTGGTGGTCCGCGGCTCCGTAGATTTTTTTCTTCGATTTCTATTAAAATTATTATTTTTTTTTTTCAATAGAGCCATAAGCGGCACTTGGTAGAAACTCATGTGGGTGCTAATATTTATGGTGATTCACAAACCTGGGGGGGGGCTAATATTTAACTACTACCATTACAAAAGTAATACAAAAAATTGTTATGTAAAACTTTATTATACGTTTCAATTAGTATAGTATATAATTGTAAATATTAGTTATAACTTACAAATGTATGAGGTACCTATTTTTATTAACATAAATAATAATAAAAAACAATTACTGTTTGTAACATTTAATTAGGTGAAAGGTGAACTATCTACTTCAGTGTCAAACGGCGGCCTTTTATTGAAGTCTCAGCATCAAATTTGTCAATTATATTGTCATAATCTATCGGATATTCTTTTTGTATATATAAGACTGCTAAACGCCGCAGAGCTGAGAAACTGCGTTCATTAGATGCAGTATTTGTAGGAATAGTTCAAAAAATCTTTAATATATTTGTATAACTTGGGAATCCAGTCCGTATATCATTAGATTTAATATAATTTATCTTTTTTGTAATTGAATCGCATTCATGATTTATAAATAATCTATTTAATATTTTGATCTCATTTGATAAATCATTTGATTCTACTTTGTAAGTATTACAAACTTCCTCTATTGACTGATTACTAGGACTTTCATTAAATAAGACATTATACATAGAATTCAATAAGCTTAAATCATTTTTCTTAAATTTACTGTTCATACACATTATTACTGTATCTATAATTCCATAAAATACATTTATACGGAAATGGTCTTGAACAGTCTGTAATGTTAGCTTTTTACCACCACCTAATTTTAATGGAACTGATTTTATTCGTGGTAAATTAGGCTTACTAAAACCATTATTTTCTGAGAAAAAATAGCAGCCTTATCCCATACTTTCTGAAAATTTTCATCTGTCCTTAACTCTTCAAAACTTTTTATAGTTTCTTTAACCATTTGACTTACTAAACCATAATTGAATGTTGTTGATTGCAAATATTTGGATAGGACATTTGTCTTTAATAATACATCTTCCAGTAAAATTAGAGAAAATATAAATTCAAATGTCTGTATACTTTTTAATAAAGCAGCAGCATCAGATCCAAATTCTCGATCACTTTCTGCTATTTCAGCCAATGTATCTATTACAGCAGTTAAATTATGGAACACTGATCTTAAGGCTTCATAATGGCAACTCCAGCGTGTCTCGCATAATGTTTTGAGTGTTTTAGGGGTCCTACATCAGAACTCAACATTTGTTCAAAAATAGAAAACCTTTTAGAAGATGCTCCTATAAAACTATATAATGTTCTTAATGTACCAAACATATTTCGAACACAAGCTTTTTGTTTTGCTAAGTCTACAAGACATAAATTCAAGATATGAGCATAGCAATGTACATCAACTGCTAAGCTATTTTCTTTCCTTATTCTGGCTTGAACGCCTTTATAGGCCCCACGCATTGATGCAGCGCCATCGTAGCACTGTCCTCTTATGTTTTCAATTTTTAGTGCGTTAAGTTTCAACACTTCTTTAATTAAATCAACAAGAGATTCTCCATCTGTTGAGTTTGTACGGTAAAATCCCAAAAACACTTCTTTTGGCTCTAAATTATGTACATACCTTATAAACACAGAGACTTGCTCATGTCGACTTAAATCTTGTGTTTCATCAATAAGAATGTTAAATATTCCAGCAGACAGAATTTCTGATATAATTGATTTTAAAACATAATCACTCATATAGGTCAAAAACATATTTAAGTATGAATGATGTACATAATTAAATGATTTTTCTTTCTCTAAATAATATCGTTGAATTAGATTATAGTCTTTTACTCTAAGAGTTAATAGCTCAATAAAGTTACCTTTATTTAACGATTTGAAATTCTCATCATGACCCCTAATAGCTATCCCTTGCTTAGCACAATAAAGAAGAGTTTCCAAAATATTTTTTAAGTAATTGCGATTATCAGATACTACTTTACTATGATTTTTGTCAATTAACCCAATTATATTTCCATAACTTGATAATGATTGTTTATATCCAACAACTTTACAAAGCGCTTCTTTATGTGAATTGCTTTTTTGATGAATAGAAAATCGTTGAGTTGCTTTTCCCCATTTCTTAAATCCACATGAAATAAATGCTGTTTCCATACCAATTGTAGGAAAAGCTCGGCAATAAAAACAAAAAGCTGCATCTAATTCTTGACTATATTCTAACCATTCATATGACTTATACCATTCTTTCCTAAATGTTCTACCAGAACTACGGGGAAATACAATATTTACTGGTTGATATGGATCCAATTGCATTGTTAAATTTATATAAGCTTGTTCTTTACCTTTTGCTGGGTCACGTTCTAAAAAATGTAATGTTATATTCAATAGAAATCACTAACATTTATGTAAAATAAAATAAAATGATCACAATCAGCAGTTATGCCCAATTGGTGTAGGTACAGATATTAAACAATACCCAATATATAAATAAGGCTACAAATAACATAACAAGGATGATTAGTATATCTATTTATTCTCAACAAAAAAACATTTAGGTAATTTGAATGATTTAATTTTCTCAATGGAACATTTATATAAATAATACATTATATGACAAGCTATTTAATTATACTATGATAGAATATATATAACATATAATTATTTATTAAGTATGATATTAATAAAATATAAAACAAACACAAATATTATTAAATTATTTTTAATGTCAATAGCATCCAAGAACTATCTGACTTGGTTAGTGACTACATAGACTACATATTATAACTTATAATTTCAATTATTTTCACATTAAAATATCACATGCCACATTTATATTACTCTTATAAAAAACATAATAATAATTATCAATAGATTAGCTACACAAATAACATGAAATATGAATATTGACTGAACACAACCATTATATTTATTTACAATACATTATCCACAGGCAACATTGAACATATAACTGTATTTTGAAACTAACCTTCTGCAGTCAAATTTAGGCAGGATTCTGTTGTAGCCAGAGAAATGCTCACGCTGTTATTAATATTATCAACAGTGCCATCAACTATAGTTAAAAATTGACAAATTAAATATTAAAACTTAGTAGTATATTATGACAACACACACAAAATAATTTTATGAAACTGAACTTACTCATAACATCTGCTGATTTTTTTTTAAAATAATCCGTTATAGTGACCTTAGTATGGTTAGGTTTAAAGTCGGCTTTTCTTTTGTTTTTATTAAGTTCATCCATAATTATTATAGGTACCCAGTCAAAATTGTAATAGTAATAAAATTAAAACTGAGACAACACTCGAAACAGTAAGACAGTAACGTCTAGATTAAAAAGTTGTTAATTGTCATCGAGCATTCGAGCGAATGAGCAATAAGAGTAATCATAGTATCATACAAACAAAATGATAAACTCAATTCAGCCGAAAACAATTTCATATAATCTGTGATAAAATAATCACAGAAATGAGATAATCTATATGATTGCTTGTGAAAGTCGTGTTCATGGTACTCACGGTCTTAGAAGATAAGTTCGGGACACTTCCCTATTTGACAACGTTAAACAATCCGGTTGCTTAGAGGGGACATTTTAGTTTAGTTTTTTGCCGCTATTATATTAGGCGCCTTGAACAGAACTTTATTAAGGTTATGTATAAAATTTAAAATATTTTAGCGGCAAACGAAAATTAAAATAAATATAACAATAAATTATTATTATCGTAATTTAAATCAAAAATATCATATTTGATATATTATTTAAAATTTATATAATATTCTATCTAAGAATATAGAGCCATAAATAGATATTAATTTGAATACATACATGGAAATTGAAATTATGTCAATAATGTTAATGTCACGCCTGCATGTATTGCTCCGTCTTACAAACGCTGAAACTCGTATATACGTAACATACTAGTATAACATACGAGACAACACATGTGGGTGTGGCATCCTCTTAATAATTACTAAATTTAGAATTTTGTTTTCACAAACATATTTGTTAGTTGTTAGTATAATATTATACTATTGTAATATTGTAGTTTTGTTTTAAGAATTGTTTCTTTGAACTTAAATATGCCCAACTTATTTTGTTTTTTTGGTTGCAATAAAAATTCAAAATTATCTGTCTTTTGTTGTCCCAAAAATGATGAGCTTAAAGCCCAATATGAAAATAACCTTGGGATAAAACTTAAAAATTATTTTGTCATTTGTGAAAATCATTTTAATTCTAATGATATAGTAAGGCAAGTGATTAAAAAGGATCAAAAGGGAAATATTATATTTTCTGTGAGTATCAAATTCACAAAATGTTTTTAACGTTTTCATATTTTCTGACCTACATATAAATAGTAAATATTTCCAAAAAATGGTATTGAATATTGGCACATATTGTATTAAGGATATTTAAAAATATATAGTTTTAAACATGATTTTGTACTGATGAACCTGTCTAAACCAAAGCTTAAACGTAATTCTATTCCGTTTAAGCTCCTGGATAGTAAATCGGTGAACACAAGCCATGGTAATGATTTTATTAATGTTGAAGTAAGCAAATGATATATACCACAACAGATTATTTTTTTCTCTATAAATATACAATTAATTAATGACAATTGCATTTAATATATTGTAATATTTCAGAATATTAATAATAATAATAATAATAACTGTGCAACAAATTGCACAACGACGAAAATTAATATCTGATGATGAAATATATGATGTTGAATCTGAATGTGAAATGGTGTCGTCAGACATATCTTTAAGAGTAATACAAACATATTTTTATTTACTATAATTACATTTAAAGTAAATTTTATCACTAAATTCACTTTGTCTTAGAAAAATATTATTAATAGTGTTAACTCCTCACAAGACGTGAAAAATATTAAGCGACGTAAATTAATATTTTCTGATGATCAAAAATATGATGTTGAATGCAAAATGGTATCTTCAGACGTATCTTTTAGAGTAATTTAATATGATAAATAATACTTCTAACATAACTCGTATAATTTTTCTAGAATGAAACTGATCTTACAGAAATATGTGGTATAAGTTACTTGGGTGATTTTAAAAAAGAAAGATTTTCATTGAAACAGTGCCAGGTATATGTTTTCACTTTTAAACATGTTTATAAATTAAATCTATCAGTTTTAAATATAACTATGTACAGATGATCCTACTTAATCCATGTATGAAACCTGATTTCATACCACTAAAAGTCATAGATGGTAGCCCTACATCAGGTTTAAGTCATGTTTGTCATGACCATGATTATGTTAAAGTTGAAGTAAGAAAATTTTTAGTATAATTTCTATAATATATTATTATCTGACAAATTATGCTATTTATTTAGACTGTAAACCAAATTCAAAGAAGTAGTCAAATATATTTTGATCAATTATAAAATAATGAAATTCCTATTAACTTACCTCCATACTGGTATAGATATACTACCATGAATCATAAATGGGTTGGATTTTCTGAAATTGTTATAAAGCAAACATCAGATGGTATATCACCTTTTTTTATTAGAGATATCATCGTTGAATCTACAATGAAAATTCATTGTAACATTTTGGGTAAGCATTATGATCTTGGAGAAATATCAAATTCAAAACAACATATTGAATGTATTGAAGATTTAACAAATGTAATACAATCAATTTCTAAATATAAACTGTGTCATGGACTAAATTCATGGCATGTATCAAAGTATTTTTCAGTTGCTAGCAGTGTTAACACTAATATATTAAAAGTAGATAGTATTGGAACATACAGACATACTAATTGTCAATTTCTCCTTCATATTGGTAATAAATGCACAAATTGTGCTCGAGCTCTTAAAACTATTAGTCAGACAGTAAAAAGATTGCTTGTTAATTTGCCCAAAAGACTAAAATTTAAAGTTACTCCAAGAAAGAGAAAAATGTTAGAGAGATTACAAAAAAAGTCAGAGATCATCAGAAAAAGAAATAAACGTCAAGAAAATAGAATAAAAATTTTGAAAAATGATTTATCAGAGTCAGTCAAGAAATTAGAAAGTATGGTGACATCTGATATCACTGAAAAACTTAAAACTAACAATGTTCCTGAATTCCAGCAAGTTATAATTAAGGAAATTTTAGCAGCTACTAAGGTTTGATATATTAAATAAAATTTAAAGAAGACAGGTAATACAAAAAGATAATATTTTTGGTTAAAAATTCAAAAGGAAGACGTTATTCTGAAGATTTTATAGTTTTATGTATGCTTTTACACATTCGATCTCCAGAAGGTTATAATTTCTTAAAGAATAATAATTTGTTACCATTGCCATCTATTCGTACAATTAGACGCTATTTAGCATTGATAGATATGAAATGTGGTTTTGACAAACAATTTTTTGAATTGTTTAAAAATCACCTTCAGAAGAAAAGTAGTATGCAAAAACATGGAATCATACTATTTGATGAAATGTCTGTAAGACAGGCTATATCTGTATGCTCAAAAACATTGACATATAAAGGTCTTGTGGATTTTGGAGAAGATAAAAAAGCAAATGATATAAAAGAAAAAGCAACACAAGCGCTCGTGTTTATGTTTCAGCCTCTAGCTGACAATTATACACAGCCATTAGCAATTTTTGCATCCAAAGGCCAAGTTGTTGGAATAGAGTTGGGCCAAATTACTTGTAAAATGCATTATTCTTTTAGAGGAAAGTGGTGCTGTAGTTCATGGATTTGTGTCAGACGGTGCACAAACCAACCGCAAAATGTGGTTGGAATTAGGGATTGATGGTAAGAAAAATTCGTTGAAAAATTGGTTTACACATCCTCTTGATAACAGCAGAAAGATATTTGCATTTTCCGACACATCACATCTAATAAAAAATGTAAGAAATAGGCTGTATAATCAAATACAACAATACCTGAAATAAAAAAATGTTTTCATAAATTCGGAAACACAAACTAATATGGTAGAAACCTTAAAACTGAAGTTTGACAAAATAATTGAAAAAAAAAATTGGGACTTAGTGGATGTTGTTGAACATGATTATGCTAAAGCAGAAATTGTTGATTGTTTAATATATTATTTAACAGGTAGGTAACATAATATAAAAATACCACTGAGTATATTATATATTATTTGTGAGGATAAACAATAAGAATATTTATTTGAATAATTTTATTTCTTAGCTTTCCGCAATAATTTTCGTATAGATACCTACATCAACAATTATTAACAAAACTATTGATCTATTATATGTATATAATATAATAACTTACATACTTACAGACATATAACACATTTTTTTACAAAATAAACTGTAGTACTACTCATTCATTACATTGGTTAGATTTCAACTAAATCTATGATTCAAATGACTTTTCAGGTTATTTATGTAAACAATTGATGTATTATACAAAAGACTGCCAAGTTTGTAAGACATCATTTGTATCTCATCAAGGACATTCGCAGCAAATTCAAGCAGCTTTGGTTAATCTGAAAACCCACAGACGATTAATACATCCTAATATAACTTTCTTCTTTTTCATCAAAAATATTGAACAAAAATTTGAAAAATATTGTAATTCACCTCATGTTTTTGATTTGATTTTAGAAGAGATATTGAGTGTACACAAATTGAGTTTCCCATGTTTTGCACATGCCACAGATATAATTTCCTTTGTAGTTATATATTATATACGTATGAGAATGAGGCAGTTTTCCCAACAAGAAAACCAAAAAACTAAAAAATTGAATCGCAATAAAAAAAAAATTGCAAAGTTATATTCGACATAAAACTATCCAGTATCCTACGCACCAACTTGTCCTGTAAATATTAAAATTATAAAATAAATGGTTAATTATGAATGTAAAAATTTCATAATAATTATATCATCAATTTATTTGTTTACCTAATTGAAAATTAGTCAATATTGGTGACCAATTGAAATTTTTTCCATTTGCCTCCAGCGTGCGTCCGTGCAACCAGATTACCTGGTTACTGATACCGGCTACCGATGTCCGGTAAATAAAAAAACACAGAAAGTTGGAACAGAAGCGCTATCAAAATAGTGGATTAAATTAGTACTAAAATGTCCTCTGATTGCGGACACGATTATAAGCAAATCTTCTAAGACCGTCATGGTA